TACCCGAGGTCCATTACCTAGGACATATAGTAGGATACGGAACCATTAGCATGGATTCAGCTAAGATTGAGGCTATTAAAGACTACCCAGTACCCAAGTCCGTGAAGCAGTTACGTAGATTTCTAGGTATGACTGGATGGTACCATAAATTTATAAAGAATTATGCGTCCATTGCTTCACCGTTAACTGACGCGTTAACGCAAAAACGTCAATTCGCCTGGTCAAATGAAGCTGATGGTGCGTTCCTGGCTCTGAAGGAGGCTATGTGTAAAGCCCCAGTGCTACACACACCAGATTTTTCCGAGCCATTCTTTATTCACTGCGACGCCAGCCACTCAGGAGTTGGTGGTGTCCTTATGCAGGTAAATAAGGATGGCGATGAGGTCCCTATAGCGTTTATGTCGAGGAAGCTCAATAAATGTCAGCGTTCCTATTCCGTTACTGAAAAGGAATGCCTGGCTGCCATTCTCAGTATAAAGAAATTTCGGGCCTATGTGGAGGGGCATCAGTTTACAGTAATCACGGACCATGCATCCCTGAAGTGGCTGATGACTCAAACCGATCTCAGTAGTAGACTCGCTAGGTGGGCCTTGAAACTGCAAGGTTATTACTTTACAATTAAACACCGGAAAGGTTCCCAGAACATAGTTCCCGACGCGCTGTCCCGAGTGTTTACCGAAGACTGCTCGGAAATGGCAGCTATATCGGCAGTCGATTTACAATCAGAACACTTTGATTCAGAAGAATATAAATCTCTAAGGGCTAAAGTTAGCTCAACTCTAAATCTAACCCCCGATCTAAAGATCGTAGGGAAACATATTTTTCGTCGTACAGAACATCCTATCGGAGAGAAAATAGCCGATGAGAAATGTTGGAAGCTGTGGATCCCTAATAATCTAATACCAGCCACGTTAAAAGACGCTCATGAACATCCGTTATCAGCGCACGGTGGCATTAACAAGACCCTTGACCGAATTCGTGCATACTACTTTTGGCCAAAGCTGCTGAAAGATGTAAGGGAATACGTTAATGCGTGTGAAATTTGTAAATGCACTAAGTATCCAAACAAAGCTTTAAGACCGCCTTTGGCCCGGTCTGGGGAAACTGAGAGGTTTTTTTCAGAAAATTTATGTAGATTTTCTTGGGCCTTATCCAAGAAGTAAAGCGGGAAATATTGGCATCCTTGTGGTGCTAGATCACTTATCTAAATTTCCTTTTATTAAGCCGGTAAAGAAATTTACTACAGATGCGATTTTGCCTTACATTGAGGAGGACCTGTTTCACTGTTTTGGGGTGCCTGAGGTAGTTCTGTCTGACAACGGCGTACAGTTTAAGTCGCACGCGTTTAACGCCCTTTTGCAAAAGTATGGTGTACAGCATGCGTATACGGCCGTTTATTCGCCGCAAGCAAATGCTTCAGAAAGAGTAAATAGGTCCATTCTGGCCGCCATAAAGGCTTATATACACCCCGATCAATCCAATTGGGACGTCCAACTTAGCAGCATTGCTTGTGCGTTGCGATCGTCCACACATAGTGCCGTAAAATCTAGCCCTTATCGATTAGCTTTTGGACAGCAAATGATCACCAGCGGAGAGATATACCCATTACTAAAAGGATTGGAGCTGCTAGAAGACCGAGACATACAATTCTCAAAAGAAGATTCGTTTGAAATCCTCAGAAAAGCCGCCACCGATGGAATGCGTAAACAACATGATCGCAATGAGAGGACCTACAATTTACGAAGCAGAATAGTATCATTTAGGCCTGGTCAGGAGGTTTTTCGTAGGAACTTCCAACAGAGTTGTTTTGTAAAAGGATTTAACGCAAAGCTTGCCCCAATATTTGTTAAAGCGCGAGTGAGGGGAAAACTAGGTCAGGCGTACTATGAATTGGAAGATTTACAGGGCAAACTGGTTGGAAAGTTTCATGCAAAAGATATTAAACAATAAATAATCAAGCTTACAATCGCTCCAAGCTAGTATCACCCTTTGGTTTTTCCCCAAAGTGTGATTTTGGTGGGGGGGATTTGTAATGTACCTTGTCGCTCTTTTGTCCACCAAAATAAATAAGCCTAGAAGCAGACTTTAATTTTTTTTTTGTCCCACTTGGGTTACCAAAGAGAATGAATCGCTGCCAAGCTCAGCTCAAAAAGGTTGCACTCAAGAGAAATTCGGGAATCAAAATTACATGAGAGTACCGTGGGTTGGCAGACAAAAATGGCGATCTTTTTCGAAATTTGGGGAAATTTTGGTTACATGAGGTTCTGACACGCGAGTATCGGTCTTTTCTAATTCTAACGCCAGCCAAGGCAGACGTGCATATCTCGAGCAAAGTCAAAAGGTTGATTCAAAGTGCCAGCCAGTCAAAGATTAGAAAAGTTATTAATAATCGTGGGTTATACCATATTGGGTAAGAAAATAAATCGGCTGTCGTCCCCAAAATTAGGCAATGCTGACCTTAGTCAATTTTATTTAGGTACCCAGGTGCAAAAGCACACCTTTATTCTCCCAGCCATTGGTTTTTCCATCAATACGCTCCGACATCCAGACGTTCCAAGCAAAGCTCAGCTTTCCCGAAAGAGATCGGCCCAAGCAGCGGCCAGAGAGGAGAGGGGCTTCAGTTTTTATTACCAGCGCAAACGCAACGGTCGCAGCTCCGACGCTGCTCCGCGCCGAGGCCGCGGAAAGTCGGAAAACGGCGGAAAACCGCCCGGGAAATACTGCTCATCGTCGTACGAAAAGTTCGGCAGAATCTACGTTTTTTTTAGTGTGAAAATATAATAATTGCCTGAATAAGAACCACCAAAAAGAAAAAGTCACGCACACACACATGTAACCTGCAAGACCACGCTGCAATTATGTAATCGCTTTGTAACTGACCTACGTTAAAGTACAGTGGCCTCTCGTATGAGCATCTCCGGTTGCTGGTTTTCTATGTAATTTTACCTTTAAATGGTATTATTCTAAAAGTACGCCACTGTACTCTTCCCCCTTATGATTATTTCAAGTTCTTTTTTCTAAATTTTATAGTTAAATTATATTTTTTCTTAATACTTAAATTTACTTCCTTAAAATGCGCACACGCAAATATAAAGAAATAAAAGCCCATTTGTGAGTGTGTATGCGAGCGGTATAGCCACGCCAGAAAATCAGTGAAGAAAATTCTAATATAAACGTAAATTACTATTTGGTAAAAGAAAATGAAACCAATCAAGTAAAGTTATAGCTTTAGTCATGTTTAAGAAAGAAAAGAAGATCAATTTGGCGAGGTTCTTGTGTCGTGCGGTGAAACATATGTATTATTAACATTTCAGCGAATTTCAGTGACAACGTTCTACGAAGAAAGCGCTTTCCTCGCCGGATGTTCAATGAGTGAGTCACCCTACTTATTTTATATATTTTTATAAATTGCATAAAGAAAATCCCCGACCAGAATTTCCGACCAAATAACAAAAGCCGAGAGGTCAAAATTGAATTAAAATAATGAAAACTTAAAACGAAATTGAAATGAACGAAAATTAAAATAGAGAAGAAAACATGAAGTGAATGAAGTAGAATTTAAAAGAAAAGAACCGCACAGAAAAGAATGAAGTAAGAATTATAGAAATAAACCAGAATGATTTGTGCCGTAATACGAATTCGCCGCAAGTTTCGCGAATTCGCCGCTTAAGCATTGCCAAATGTAACGTCAATGGAATCCACTTAGGTTCCACAACCCTGACCACTGGTTGTATTTACTTTTCTCATACACACGGGTTAATTTCCTTCCTTTTTAATTACATATCTTAAATTTATTTTTGCCCCTTTATTTTGTTACTATTTAAATACTATATTGCCATTATGATTATATTATTATATTTTAGATAACTATTATATTTCTATATCTATAAATTTATATTCTGTTAATTCCTTGCGTAAAATAGCGATTGTGGGTGGGAATACGCCCTGTAGAATTATGTCAGCAGTACATTTAAATATTCTATGTTAATAAATGAATTTTATAATGAATTTTGAGTAGACCGCCAATTAGCTAAAGGGGACATGCCGATAACAGGAGATGTGGGGGTAACATAGAGGGTTAATACCCTCATTTAGGGATCACACCCTAGCTATGGGACGGTGTGATCATGGAAGGGTGGGCACTTGTGGTTGCAACAACATCTTGCCACATTCTTGAGATTTTTATTTTTTCCTTTGTAACCATTTTCATTTCCTAACTTCAATTCTAAGCAAATCTCCCAAAATATTCGTCAGTCCGAATTGCGTTAGCGTCGACTTATTCTTGCACGTGATCGATTTAATGATAATATATTTATGTGATTTCTTTTGTGGAGATAATGGGCTGTATATCAACGGACTCGACGACTAGCCGGAACCATCACGTGGTCCGCACGATATACGAATTGTCATCTGCTCTTCCTTTTGGAAAATATTAAGTTTTCTGGGATCTCCCTCTGTACGTTACATGCTACACTTCCACGTACGGGGCATTATCGTAAAGACGGGTCCAGACCAGCATCGCGATGAGTTGAGCCAGGCACGCACAGCACATCGTCATGCTTGTCTTACACTTGATGCATCCCCGTCATCTCGTCTGGCAGTTCTTCAAAACTTCTCCCCTCCCCCTTTTCCAAAACATAATTTTTCAAACGAAATTGTTTTGATTTTCTTGATGCCATAAAAAATGGGAATTTATTACTTGGCGGTCTCAGATTACAGTCAATGTTTTTGGCTCAAAACGCCAGACGGGAGTTCATCTTGGGATCTGAACTTGAGGGAAAAATTTCCACGACATGGGCAAACAGAGTGGCGCTTATTAATAAGTTGCCTATTTACTTGTCCTAAAATTGGCAGCCACCCGAGTTCAAGTCTATAATTAAAATGTATCCTCAATTATTTACACAATTGCCAAGTAACTGGTTTAGAGTGGCTACTATAAAAGTTGTGGATGGAGTTATGGCTGCACACAGTTTCCCAGAACTTCTCCAAGGGGCTTCAACATGAAGTTAACTCTTATCTGTTTACTGGGTAAGTGAGTCCTAAATATTATTAACCTTTTAACTAAAGTGATATTTTCACAGTGAGCTTCGTTCTGCTGCAATATGCAGAGCACAGTGATGCTTGCTTGGAGGTAATTGAGAAGGCTTTGGGCCTGGAACCCTGCAATCAAGGTGCCCGTAAAGGACATCATAAGCAACCGCACAGAGGTGGACCAGGACCCGTGAGAACCACTGGAAGACGTGAGCCACGAAGGACTAGACATCTCAAAACCAGAGAACCTCGGACAAGGCCTCACACAAGAAGAACAAGGAGACCCGTCAGAATGACCCGGAAACCCAAGCCGCCAAAGACTCTACCCCATTGCCCAGAACCACCGTGTGCAGAGCAGACTACTCAAAGACCAAGGCCACCTTGCTCAGAGAACACTACTAAAAAACCAGAACCACCTTGTTCAGAGAACACTACTAAAAATCCAGAACCACCCTGCACAGAGAAGACTACTCAAAAACCAGAACCACCATGCACAGAGAAGACTACTCAAAAACCAGAACCACCTTGCACAGAAAAGACTACTCAAAAACCAGAACCACCTTGCACAGAAAAGACTACTCAAAAACCAGAGCCCCCTTGCACAGAGAAGACGACTCAAAAACCAGAACCACCTTGCACAGAGAAGACTACTCACAGACCAGAACCACCTTGCTCAGAGAACACTACTAAAAAACCAGAACCACCTTGCACAGAGAAGACTACTCAAAAACCAGAACCACCCTGCACAGAGAAGACTACTCAAAAACCAGAACCACCCTGCACAGAGAAGACTACTCAAAAACCAGAACCACCCTGCACAGAGAAGACTACTCAAAAACCAGAACCACCTTGCACAGAAAAGACTACTCAAAAACCAGAGCCCCCTTGCACAGAGAAGACTACTCAAAAACCAGAACCACCTTGCACAGAGAAGACTACTCAAAAACCAGAACCACCCTGCACAGAGAAGACTACTCAAAAACCAGAACCACCTTGCACAGAGAAGACTACTCAAAAACCAGAGCCCCCTTGCACAGAGAAGACTACTCAAAAACCAGAACCACCTTGCACAGAGAAGACTACTCAAAAACCAAAACCACCTTGCACAGAGAAGACTACTCAAAGACCCTGCGGATGTGGATCAGGAAACCCACCAGGTTGGAATCCCGGTGGCCCTATAATAACAACCCCTTCAACGATCACCAAGAAACCCTGCGGATGTGGTTCAGGAAACCCACCAGGCTGGAATCCCGGTGGTCCTAGAATACCCATACCACATATTCCCGGACATTTTGGACCTGGACCTGTTATACCCAATAACGGCGAAAACGGATTTGGTTCACATTGCCCAGGAGGCTGGAATCCCGACAGTCCTCTAATACCCGTCCCCAGAATTCCCGGACATTTCGGACCCGGTCCTGTCATTCCCAATAGAGGAGGTAACGGATGTGGCTGCTCCAATAAATGTCCACCCAGTGAGGAACTTAGCGAAGAGCTTCGTATAACCATTGAACGAATACAATTAATCATTGACGAGTGCATCCTACTAAGCCAAAGATGTTAAAGGAACACGAAAACTGACCAATCGATTGCTGAACCAAAATTACTTTTACGGTGTTAACTAATAAAATAAATTGTTTTGCATTTAATTGATTTGTAAGTCTATCTTAATGTTATTTTTAGGAATCAACGGTTTTTAGAAACATCTGAAACTGACCAAACGATTTCGGTAATTTAATTGTTATGCATTTCTTGGTTCTTAAGCCTAGAGTACCCCAGTAGAATTTTCTGTTATGTTGATTTAATGAAACTTAGCAAAACATGGCTTCTCAATATGCTTTTAATATAAACTGTGTGAACGCGTGTGTGTCCGTATGAAGTGCTTTTTAAATACTTGTAGCGGTTTAAGCTTTTACCCTTACCAGCCATCAGTCCAGCTGCCCCGACCACAAACTCCCACCCGACACCCACTTCAGTTCACGTCATGAACATGATTATGTACTTTATGAATGTGCAGAGAAGCGATTGAACTACTTTAAGCTGAACAAATTTTAGATACTCTTGAATGGCTCGTTTTCGATTTATATTACTTATAATTCTTACTTATAATTTAATAGAACAACATTTTTAAAACCAAGTTTTTGTGATTTTTATAATCAACAATTGAGATTTTTTGACTACCCCCATCTTTTATCCAAAATCTTAAAAGATTTAATTTATTTAAGTCTATACGAAACAATGCTTAGTTTAATTAATCAAAATCAATCTAAATAAATATGTTTTTAACATTTTCGATTTATCATGTAAAATTCTGATTTAATAAAATATAAAAAAAATTTATAAATCCATAATTTATAAGATGTCAACTGTAAAATGTAAATTTACCCTTTATTAAAAAGCGAATAGAACCCGCTAAAAAGATAGGGTATGGGTGGTGATGATTTTTCCACTCAGCCTGTGCCAACTGCTTATATAATATTTGAAAATTGAAAATCTTTTTGGCGCTGCACTTGAAAAATGCTTAGACCAGGCCATGATGATGAACTTTATAAAACTCTTGACCACATTTGCCGCACCCGTCGCCACTCCCCTCCCCTTTGAAAATGTCTTTCCTATCCTTTCGTTTCCACTTTGGACATGTCTGACCAGCTGACGTCCCAAAAAGTGGTTAGAGGAGGGTCGGTGGAATGGATCGGGGCTCGGGACTCGGAGATGGGGTATATGGAATGCATTGCACTTGACTTTAGCGCCACTTGTAAGTGTAAATTTTATTTGAGCCAGCGAAGTAGGTACACATGTAGATACTCACATTCAACCGTGCCCTTTGTCAAGAGCTCCAAAGTGCCTGGCCAGCGATATTGGCGTTTGCACTCGGACTTGGTCTTGGACTTGGAAACATTTTGGACTTGGACTTGGCTTTGGAGTGTGGCTCTCCGTTTGGATGTCGGTTTTTTGGCCCGCAGTTTGGCGTCGTGTCGCTGACAGCTAAGTGGTGATAATCGCTTTTGAATTGAATCTGAGCAAGTAAATTTACACGCAGACCAAGTTTAAATTCAAAAATGCAACAGAGAAAAGATCTCACAGTTTTGGACACTGGCCATCGGACAAAAGACGTCACTTGTTTGGCTTTGCTCTGTCTCTATTTGGGTGGGCGTTTTGGTCTTTGTGTTTTGGCTGCGGCTTTATTCAAAAGTCCAGAGAAGGGGACTCCGAGGATAGGGGGCTTCTGCGGTTTGTTTGGCTGGTTACTGTGGCTTCTAATTTGTGAACTGGATTTGCGGCTTCAAGTAACGGATGGGCGGCAGCTGAGCGGATTTGTAAGTCATTAAATCAGGACTTAAAGCCCAAAGCCTTAAAACTTAAATAGTTGCAAAAGTTTTGAGTGAATTATAATTCACACTAAGACATTTTTCTTTTCTTAAATGGAGCAGATACCACTTAGATAAGTGTGAAGGATATGACGAACCACTATCCCTTTACTATTACATTTAAATTCAAAATAAGATTAACCTAACCAACTTTTGCTTTCTAAACTGAAATGTGGAATTCTCATAAGCGTAACAAAGTGGATATTTCAATGCTCTCTGTTTTTTTTTATTATCAATCAATCAATAAAGATATCAGTATAATTAGTTAATACGTTGCATGCCAGCGACCTCAGCGATATCATTACAATTCATACGTCGATCCGATCCTAAGGACATGATTAGTAACCATTAATAAGAATATCACTTTTGGTTTTTCACAAAACTTACCCAAGCAGTTTAGTCTGGTCAGCTCACAACGTCCAACATTCCTCCAACGCCAAGTCCTTCGGGTTTTCTCCCTGCACTCCCTGTTGAAGGCTGGCAGGTCACGATCATTTCGATTATTTAAACCTTCCACGCAGCGTTCACACCTTCGGGTCAATTCATCGCAGTTACGATTTTGTCCAGCGACCAGGGTCAGAAAAAGGACTACAAGCCGGAATTAAAGTTATTATATTTTAAGGATGTGGTTTTAGGTTTAAGCTTACCAGTTAATACGGCAAAAATAGCTTTGATATGCATTATTTTGTGTTGGTGGCTCTTGACGGGAACTTATCAGTTAGCTAACTACCGAAGACCTTGCCCCAACCCTACTTTATATAAACACCAAATGCTGCACTTATCCAGCCACCAAAGCAGCTGTTTCATAACAAAAAAGGGAAGTTAATAATATAGAACAATATCTTTACAATACTGACAAAAGCTCTTTTCAATAAATTTGTACAAATTGGGTCACCTTTTGAGCTTATTGAAGGGCATGAAAACAATCACTTCCTGGTTTTAATAAAGGGCTATTATGTACAAAGTGGCCACGGGTTTTTTCCGAAGGCTGTTTAGCACTTTATAAAAGCCCTAGTACGGTCTCTCATTCTACACTGTGGTTGACCAAGTTCTCAGCGGTAATACCAATATGACGAAAACTACTCTTCTTTTTGGTAAGGATCTAGATCGGCCTGCATATAATAACTCCCATTTAATCCAATTTCAATCCTGTTTTAGCTATCGCTTGCCTTTGCGTGGCTGTTGAGGCTCAAACGCCCAGGCCAAACGATATTTGCGGAACTGAAAACGCAAAATGCCGACAAAATGAACGAAGATTGGGAAGGAACAATGACGTATCCACCATCTTTAATAATCACTGCCGACAAGCCCCAGGCGGTGCAAACTGGCGCAATGTAACCCGCTGCGAGTTGTCTCTGGCCTCCTGTCGATGTACGTAACTTATTAATATCTTTAAGGAGATAGCGACTATTTAATTGTACAATTACCCTCATTTTTACAGTGACAATCGAGAGTTGCGGAGCTGTAAACTGCGCGAACGTGAGAAGAAGCCTTGGAGGTACCCGTCCCGGTCCCGTTGAACCTGGCACTCCAAGAACGACAACTCCTGGAATTCCTTCTCCTCAAACTCGCCGAACCACAACTCGTAGGACCCCAACCCCTTCCCCTCGCCGTACTACAACTCGAAGGACCCGAACCACTAGAACACCTTCTCCTCGCCGAACCACCACTCGTAGGACCCCAACAACTAGAACTCCTTCTCCTCGTCGAACCACTACACGTCGGACTCCTTCTCCTCGTCGCACTACCACTCGTCGACCTTCCGAAGAGTAAACCCTTTTAGGACACACCTTGCCTTCCTATAAAAAAGTTAACTAAAATGTGTATTACTGAAGACCAATAAATATTTCAATGCTCTCTATAAAACCATGTTCTAACAACTATGATCTGTAGAACAATCACCGGTTATAAATTTATTTAACATTTAATTGATTTTGGCTTAATCAATTAAATTATCAGTAATATTATTAATTTCTTCAGAAGATTCTGTGGTACTATTTAAACCCAATTTTGTGGGCACAACGCCTAAATCTTCTGGCTTCTTGGTTATATTGATCGACATCGATGTGGCGTTGTCGCTTACGTTTTGTGGCACACCCCGGTTAATAACTTTAAATAAATTCTTTGAGGTATTCCGGTGGTATTCTTTGGGCGAAGAGTAAAAGATAATTCCGGCTAAGCAAACACCAATCACCATTCCAGCCAGCAGGCAAACGCATGATTTCTTATTGGATCGTCCTATTAGTAAAGTATTAGGACACTGCTTTAATAATTATCTGAATTTTATTACAGCCCACTAACCTTCACTTAGAAAGGATCTAGTTGCCAGTTTGCTATTAAGCTTTGCCGAGCTTATCGGGATCATTGTTGTACAAGGTCTTTTTTCAAATAAATAAAACACGCGTCGTGCTTACCCTTTTCTTTTAAATGTCTCGGCACTGGAACAATTGAATAAACATAAATTTAAAATGCATGAGGAATAACAAGACAAATGTGCACAAAAGGTAATTAAACTCGTTCGAGGTTATGTTCAAACTTAAAAAAAAGTCACATTTTCAACTTTTTTCCTGGGGCTTAAAACAAAAATGTTTTAATGCAATGTTTTCTCCCAATCAAAATTAAATGCAAAAAAAAATTTCAACATATTTTTCCTTGTATTTTTTATGATTTTTTGAAAATAGCTGAAAATACAATTTTAGCCGCTTTTTTTCACCTTTTCATAACACATTTTCTAAGATCGTTCCATTCAAAAAATTATGAAAAACACAAGGAAAAATATTTTGAATTTTTTTTGAAGTTATTATTAATTTTGATTGGGGAAAACATTTTTTGCATCAGAACATTTTTGTTTTAAGCCCCAGGAAAAAAGTTGAAAATTTGACTTTCACAAAATTTGCTAACTTTTCGAAGGGGTCTTAATGGGTTAAGAACATTTTTGTGTCATTTAAACGGAATTGAAGTGCTCTTTCTCTAGGTGCCAAAAGTTTATATTAAAAGTTCAAAGTGTGACTACAGTTAACATTCAAATCTGTCGAAATAATTATGCCGACTAGTGTATTGGGTAGTGGAGGAGATGCAGTCGTCAAAGCAAATGGCGCCATCTAGTGGTTGTTAATTTTTGGTCACACCCAGTGTCGGATCTAGAATTTTGTTGTGGGGGTGATATCAGAACAATTTTTTTGTTCCATACTTTTTGAATACCAAATTTTTTTTCTTTTTGCACCCGAGTCGGGGGTGACATATCACCCATATACCCCCTGTGGATCCGCGCATGGTCATAACTTTTTAATGGATTGTCCGTTTTGAACATTTTCTTCTACATTTCGAAATTAATAACACAACAAAGTGGCACTCAAAAATTTTACAAAATCTGCAAAAATGTAAGCGCCAGGATTTTTTTACAGTTCTTAAGGCGATTTGGTGGCGGTCGGATAAAACCTAAGAATATGTGTGGTTAATCCCAACTATCTAGCTTTTGTAGTTTCTGTGATCACAACGTTCATACGGACAGACAGACAGACAGACGGACATGGCTAGATCGAATCGTCTAGTGATGCTGATCAAGATTATAACTTTATAGGGTCGGAAACGCTTCCTTCTACCTGTTAATACTTTTGCACGAATAAAATATACCCTATACACTAAGATGTCGCAAAATACAATATAACCTGCTGGATTTGGAATTATATTTAATAGACATATTGTACTGATTTGACGGCCTATCAAATCGTTGTACCAAACGGTGCACTGAAAACTATGGGTACTATATAGCTAGAGTTATACTTTTAAAATAATATATAAATCAATAATATTCTCATTTCTTTGAAGGTATAATTTACCACCGAGATTCCCATTTCCAATCCTCAAATTTGCATAAAAATTAAACAAATGAAATATAGAGCATCAAAGTGTTTATTTACTCGCTGTTAACTAGATTTCAGTTCGTTTTCGGAATTGTATTTTTGTCCGCTTGGGGTTTTTTACTCGGTGGGTCTACGTTCGAGAGCTCGCCGTACATTGTCACAGGACAGGGTATCACATCGTTCAAGGGTCACTGCACAAAGAAAATATTCGAAATTAATAAATATTTTTAGAAAAATTTTTAAGCTTAGGGCGCTTACAAATACAAGTGGCCCTAGCGAGTTCGCATCGGGAGATGCTGCGCCAGTTCCTGTCGTTACGACGGCAGTTTTCGTTGAAAATGTCCGAGACTTCGTTGTTCCTTCCATTCCTTTCAGCCCTCGACAGACATCTCTCATTAATACGCCTGCAAATTTCTCTATCACTTTGGGCCTGAACGACCACGCAAAGGCAAACGAAAGCTAAAACAGGATAAAATTGGTATTGAAGAAATAACCTTTAGTTCACAGGACCTTACCAATAAACAGAGTGATCTTCGACATGGTGATTTTCTCGCTAAGAACTCACTTTACTTCTGTGCCGAGTTCGAGCCCATACTTGGGCTTTTATAAAGTGCTAACCGCTTTGCAGGAAAAAATGCAGCCTTTTGAATACACACCTCTTATTATTATATTCAGGAAACAGAATAAATGGCCTATTCAATCCAATTAAAAGGTGTCCTAATTTTTATACATTTCCTGAAACTGTTCCATTTTTCATTAAAGGCTTTTATCCCTGATTTAAAACTTGCCACATGTTTTAAAACACCTGTAATTTGTGAATCTCGTTGCTTTGGGTGTTTATATAAAGTCAAGTCGGAACGGTGACTTCTGTAGTGAGCTAACCGATAAGTTCCTGTCAAGAGACGCCAAGCTAAATAATGCATCTTAAAACCCTTTTGAGTGTAATCTTTGGTGAGTTCAGATCGGAATCGTTCAGGAATCTGTTTCAGAATTTTAGTTACTAATTTTTAATCTGGTTTATAGTCCTGTGTTTGACCCTGGTTGCTGGCCAACAACGGGACTGTGATGAAGTGGTCCGGAGGTGTGAATCCTGTGTGAGGCGTCTGAATAATTCCGTCGATCGCGATCTGCCCAACTTCAATAGGCAGTGCAGGGAAAGGACCCAAAGGAATTGGCGCTGGAGGAATGTAGGACGTTGTGAGCTCACCAAGCTGAACTGCTTGGGTAAGTCTTGTATAATACCCATTAGTATTTCTTTTTTTAATTAAAACTTTTTCGACTTTAGGATGGGATAGGCGGATGAGCTGTGCCGAAATTGCTGAACAAGCTGGCATGGAGCGCAGGAGGGACTGATTAAGAAGAAACTAATGAATAAACAGATGATTAAATAAAAACAAAAGAGAGCATTAAAGTAAAACTATATTATCTTTTTATTTACAACACTCAAACTATATATATTAAATTTCTTCATGCCACTTTTGCATTGCATACCGCACAATTCTATCTTCTATTTCGTTATTACTTAAATCGTGGTTAAAGTCTGAATATTCATGATCGTTGTTTATAATACCTTCACCTAAGACTTCTAATATTCGCGACACTTTTCGTTCATTCACACTGTCACCAAAGAATTCAATTTCAGTTCTTAAATGATCATCGAATGATTGAACATTAATATCAGATGACAATTCGTTTTGAGGCTGATCGGTAGGGCCAATTGTAATATGATCCTGGCTTTCGTTGTGATCATCATAAAATAGGTTCATTTCATTATCGTCATGAACATATTCCAAATCAGGCCGCGTTAGATGGTCATCTAGGGGCTCCTCCGGATCAACATAATCTATATTTTCTACGTTTGGTTGTCCCAAGTCTATGTATAAAAATATTGATAGCTCTAAATTACATTTTTCTTTTATTATTGTCTTACCCACTATCAGTAAAACACAGAGTACATTAAAATGAAAAGGTAATTCCATATTCCGTTCGTATATCTTACAGCTCTAAACAGAAATATAATACTGATAGCTGGCTTATTAAAATCCATTTCATTTAATATGGCAAGCTGTTTTATATTTAGACAGCATTTTTTCATTACTGTTTACCTAGAATTTTTTACAAAAATTTAAACCTGGGATCGAAGTTTCGATTACCCTGGGAAAAAAAACAATTTTTTTAAATAATAACGGCTAGTTTTAAAAAACCTGCAAACACTCACGTTTGTAAAATATAAGAAACAACAATTGTATTTCAAAAATACTATCGTTATTAGTCTGAAATTCAGACTTAGAAATTAACATTCAGACTCTGAATGTTTGTTTACACGACCACATTTCGATATTCTTCAGTTATCTTTAAATTATATATCTTTCAGCTTTGAACTAAGATGTAAAACTGTCGTCTGGCATGGGGAAATGTATTGCTTTTATCTGTGTTGATGCGGTACCAGTATTTACACAGCCTTTTTTATAACAAATATATAAGTAAAATATACTCGTATTTACTATAGACTTTTTTGATTAAAAATAATATTTTAAAATATGGCAGGGCGTACCAGGTTTTTATGTATATTAATTCTTCATATTTTTTTAACACAAGATCAATGCGGACTAGAATCTTTTTAAAGAATTACTGAAAGCTTTTGGCTATTCCCTAGAACAGCTTTACCACGGGCCCAGGGAGAAACCCACCACAACCGATCGTTTAGAGAATTAGCCACTATAACTGCGCCTCTCGCTGGTAAACAAAAGTCGGTCAAAAATCCGCGAGAGGAAAACGCCGAAACAAGCCCGTCTGGCTAAAAAAAAAAAACAAAAACTGGCAGGCAGGCGTTAATACGCGTACAATATTGTTTAAACAAGAGACGAGATTCTGTCACTGTAGCTCGATCTATCTGCTTAAATACACAATGTGATAACGCAGATTGCGGGCATTAAAACGATCTTTTCAAACTGCGGTTCAGTCTTCAGCTGTTGTCGCCGTTTTTCACACACAAAACCGAAATCCGAATTCTGAAACCCGAAATACGAAAAGCGAAGGAAGAAAATAAATAATATATGAAATAACAGAACACTCCAACTAGTTCAGTTTGTTGGCGGGTTACCAAAGAAACGGTCACGTTTGGCGGCTCAGTATATTCGTTTTCGTGCCACATTCGTTTTATTATAAACTGTTAAAGTGATTGATTGATTAATTGATTTATTGAGTGAGTGGTGCAATCATGGCTAATTACACAGTGGTGCGTGTGACCAAAGTGCAACCATATCTGCATACGGTAGGCAGCAGTTACGCGGCTTTGGCCAATGTCGACGGCTTTTACGGACCGACCTTGGAGGCCGGACTACTCGATTTCCATGGAAATGGCACTGCCACCCATGCCAATCTAACGGCGGAGAGTGTTCTGGTGCTCATCGGGGAGGAGAGCTATAGCTATCGATCCACCTCGACCATAGTCCTCATGGTTTCCGCCTGGATCCTCCTCATTTTGGGCTTTGTCTTCTGCTGCTGCGCCGAGTGCTGCGGCGTTAGCGTTTGGCGTGGCAAAAATACACGCTCCAGCATCGATGGCCTAAACCAGGCGGAACAGGGAGGCGGTGGGAGTGGAGATGGGCGTGCCACCGCCCACGATGCAGCTGCAGGTGAGTGCAGTCCAAGCTTTTTATCATCGAAGCTTTTGTGTGGGGGCTCGCTCGCATACTTTTAGGCTGCCATGAAATATTGAAAGGCAGGCAAGTTTTCCCTTGCCGGTGGATAACTGGAATCATATTTCACGAATATCCCATAAAAGGCAACAATAAGCGAGCAGCCGCAGGGATAGTCAAGGTTTGAAAAGGATACATACCCTTTTCTGCCATTGGGATTAAGGCCTATAAATAAAATTAAATTTAAAAATTTTACATTTTCAATTTGAAAATATAAGCAGTCATAATCTCAAACATTTTTAAAATAACTCATTTTGAAATGTTTAAAGTCTAGGATAAAACGACTAAATGGTAATTTGTCTTTGGTACAAACTGATTTTGAAACCCTTTAAATTACATGGAATATTATATGTATCGCCTAGAGAATAACTTCAACTTAAAATGCTACCTCCATATAAGGGTTCCAAAAACTTCATTGACTTCATTGAAACTTCAAAAAGTGCAGGGTATAAAAATGCATTTCAATGGCCTGTCAATGCGCTTAGCTGGCATTGCTGAACTACTTTTCGAACAACACGAAGGGGCTTCTGGGTATTTGGGAGTTGCTCTGCGGAACTGCCTGCCTCATCGATATCATAAAATATTTAGCTATTTCTCTTATTTCGTTTCGCTCCGTTTTTGGCAAATTTGGCATGCGTTTTGACCGAAAATTGGCTTTTGGCCAAGTTAACGAATCGTTCAGAGGAATGAATGCTTCTACACAAACATATACACGCAAACATACAAGCCAGGCTCGCACATAGACACCGAAAAAATTTATATTATTTAAGGAAATAAATTCTAGTACCTATGCTTCTGTATCGGTAGGATTTGAAACATTGGGGAGGCGTAGCTTTTACAGCGTAGCACATTATTATTATTATTATTATTTAAAAAAATAAATTTTAGTATTTATGGTTCTGTATCAGTGGGACTCGAATCATTGGGCGAAGCTTTTACAGTAGTATAGCACTTTTTTTTTCCTAAAGCGCTTTAATGCAAAATCATTTCTACAAATTTTATTTATTCGTCTCGTTGGAGACTGAATCGTGTGAATCACACTGTGAATCATTTGAATTTTTACAGTAAAATGTTTTGAAACGAAAAATGTCTCGATTCATGTTGATTCATGCAGGGCTCTAATTCAAAATGGGTGTTCCAATGCTTAAGTAAAAAAAAGTTATATTTTAGGACAAGCTTAAATAAACATATACCTTAACAAATTAAAAATTTATATATTAATATAAAAATAATAATATAACAAAATTTGGGTTAGCATAAATTAATAATTTTCCGACTTATCCATTACATATACATCTAAAAGCTTCAAACTTTTATCATAAAATATTGTTTATTTTTAATTACTCAGATGACCTAACATATTTTTATCAGTGCAAAAACACTAGAATTTTGTCCGATAATTTGGTTGCATATGCTGCGCTCAATGCAGCTTCTGTTTGCATCGTTGGCAATTAGCATTGTCTCGAAGATATTGCGTTTCATTAGAGCGATATGGGTTCGAGAGTGTTTGCTTGCGCCTGTGTGGGTGCATATGTGATGGAGTGTGTGTGTGCGTGAGCCAAAATGCACAGCAGTCAATGGGTCATTTCGATAACGGCAAAATTTGTTGCAAAATTTGTTTGGCATTTAAGCCGAAACTGGGATTTGTGTATTGTATGGCTGCCAGAAGCTTAAGTTGTTGCATTTCTGCCATGGTATCTGTCGATTTTTGGTGTGCTTTTGTGTTCTGGCATTTCAACTTAACAACCGAAACGATATTTCAGCCAATTGTGAGTAAGCTCAGATGATAGGTTCAAAGTGCACATAAATAGTGTTTTGTTACGCCCATTTAAGGCAACGAAAGTGTGTTCAATTAAAAGCGATGACGTTTGCGAAGGAATATCTTTCTTGTTTGTGAAAACTATGCAAAATTGTTGGTGCTCTAGACTACAAAAGCTTTAACATGAAATGGATATGTATAAATTAAAGTGCAATAATGATTTCATTAGTGGGCGATTTAGGATTTTGTTGAGGCGGGTGACATAACATTTTTTTGTTGCCTACTTTTTGAACACCAAAATTTCTTTAATTTTTCTCACCCATATCACAACCCGTGGATTCGCACTTGGATTTCATTACCTTATTTATATTTCAAGCCCCATAGAATTTGGTTTAAAATTGTCTAGTTTTATCCACTTTATTATCACGCAAACGCTAGATCAATAATCCCACTACGTATACAACTAACCTAGATAACATATTTCTTTTATCTACCTCACGGTGGGGTACATTCAATTTATACGCTTGAGCGCATTTGGCCCATTTCGATAACAACATAAGAAGCATCTTAGTATGTCAGTGCAATAAATTCTTCCACTTTCGTTTCGAACTGTGGCCACAAAACGTGCCTGGGTCCCGTAGACCTCCCCGTCCAATAGTTGCCTAGTTAATGCCCCTGTTCCTTATTCTCCTTTTGGCCCACACGGGCAACTTAAAGTTGAGAGCCATAAAAATTGCGCAAAGTCACAAATGTTTTATGAAACTTTCTGTTTTTTTTTTATTTTTTTATATGTATATTTTATTTAGCCTGACGCTCATTTCGCTGCACAAGTTTTAATAAAAAACTTCAGCCTCTTGTGCGAACCAACTGCAGTCGATGCTGCTGCCCCGCCG